ATTTTTGTTTATTATTGACTGGTATACGAGGGTTTGTCCGGAAAGGAATCCAGTCCAGATAGAACAATTGGTTCTGTTAACAATGGCTAGATACTTTCTAGACGGCCCTTGTATATTCTACCTGTATGAACCTTATGTTTGGTATTAAATGGAAATCTCTTTTAAATTTTTTTTTCCCCAACATCTCCGCAACCCAACCCACCAACCACCCAAGGACCTGTAACCATCATTCCTACTTTACTGTCTGTGAAAGTTCACTTTTAAGAATTTCCAACATGTAAGTGAGACCATGCAGTATTTGTCTTTCTGTGCCTGGCTTAATTTCACGTCACATAATGACCTCCAGGTTCATCCAATGCTGTCACAAATGACCACACATTTTCTTCTTTTCTATGGCTGGATAGTAGTCTCTGTTGTGTACAAATACCAACATTTTTCTTTTGTTCATTAATCCATCTGTGGGACCGTTTGAAGTTGATTCCAAAGCTTGCTAATTGTGGCATATGCTTCCATGAACATGAGGTACAGATTCTTCTTGACATAGTGAATTTCATTTCCCTGGATATGCACCCCAGTGAGTGGGATTGGTGTATTTAAGTACCTGGTACAATAAGAAAAATAAGTAAAGTTTTAAAATGGAGAAGGAAGGGAAAACATTCTGTCATCTAAAGATTTACTGTGTAAGTCAAAATTCAAATAAAGATTGTCTACGGTCAAAATCCCAAACCTACAGATTAAGTATTTACAATTAATAAAAATAGTTTATCAAAGTTGCTGGGTACAAATGTCAACATACAAAAGTCAATTGTATTGCTATCTAATAGAAAGAGCTTAAACAATGGAAATTATTAAAAGAAGAAAGATTTATGAAATCATTAAAATATGAGGTATCAAGAATTGAATTAACAAAAAATGTGTAAATCCAATCTTTGTAAGGGAACAATATAAAACTCTACTCAGACAGGAAAGTGGACCTAAACAAACGCAGTGATACCTGTGTTCATGGATCAACAGGGCTTGATACTGCAAAGACGCCCACTCATTCAGGTGGCTTACGGACTCAGCGCAGCCCCAACACAAATTCCTCCACCATTTTTCAGGTGGAAATCGACAAGGTCAAAAATTTTTAATGTCGTGTTCACATAAAGGACAAAGGACAGAATTTATGGCAGGTAGGCCTTGCTTTTTTTAGCTCTTAACCTCAGAAAGTTTCTCCGTGCCTAGACCTGGGACTGTGAAAGGGGCGAAGCGCGCCCTCCCCGGATGCGGACCCCGCGTGTGAACGCGGGGAGTTAGCGTAAGAGACGGCGCACCGAGCAGGGCGGGCCAGTCCCCAGGTCTACACGCGGGGAAAAGGAAGCCACCGCCCGCATCGCGGCGCTCGCGAACGGCGCCCGGGGGGCGTGACGGCCGGGCACAAGCGCCGCGACGTCCCGGGGCGCAGCGGGGACGCGCGGACCTTTCCCGGGGCGCAGGCGGGGACGCGCGCGACCTTCCCGGGGCGCAGGCGGGGACGCGCGCGACCCTTCGCGGGGCGCAGGCGGGGACGCGCGCGACTTCCCGGGGCGCAGGCGGGGGACGCGGCTCAGGCTGCAGAGGGCCTGCCCGTGGCGGGCTCGCGGGCTCCCTCTGCGCGGCTTAACGCGCGTCTCGTCCCACGGCCCGCCAGGCGGCTCGGGTCGCCCCCCGCGGCGGCCACGCTCCCGCCTGGGGACCAGCATCCTGGGGACCAGCGTCCTGGGGAGGAGCATCCTGGGGAGGAGCATCCTGGGGACCAGCGTCCTGGGGACCAGCGTCCTGGGGACCAGCATCCTGGGGAGGAGCATCCTGGGGACCAGCGTCCTGGGGACCAGCGTCCTGGGGACCAGCGTCCTGGGGAGGAGCATCCTGGGGACCAGCATCCTGGGGACGAGCATCCTGGGGACCAGCGTCCTGGGGAGGAGCATCCTGGGGACCAGCGTCCTGGGGACGAGCATCCTGGGGACCAGCATCCTGGGGAGGAGCATCCTGGGGACCAGCGTCCTGGGGAGGAGCGTCCTGGGGAGGAGCATCCTGGGGACCAGCATCCTGAGGAGGAGCATCCTGGGGACCAGTGTCCTGGGGACCAGCATCCTGGGGACCAGCGTCCTGGGGACCAGCGTCCTGGGGAGGAGCGTCCTGGGGACCAGCGTCCTGGGGACCAGCGTCCTGGGGACCAGCATCCTGGGGAGGAGCATCCTGGGGACCAGCATCCTGGGGACCAGCGTCCTGGGGAGGAGCATCCTGGGGACCAGCGTCTTGGGGACCAGCGTCCTGGGGACCAGCGTCTTGGGGACCAGCGTCCTGGGGACCAGCGTCTTGGGGAGGAGCATCCTGGGGACCAGCGTCCTGGGGA